AGATCCAGTACCCATCCCTGTGCCTTCGCCTTCATCAGCCATCACTTCAGTGGTGTGACGGTCGAAGGGAGAAAGGGAGTTCTGACACTGTGTTAGACTCTTGGTCAAGAGACTCCCAACAACACTCTCTTTGGCAGTGAATTGTTTATTGGGATATCAGCATAATCCAGATTAGAGCAGTACCGTGTCAGAACTGAGGTTTGGGGCAGTAACCTCTACAAATATAGACAATTTGAATATAGGGACCCCCCTGGGTTCATCCAATCGTTTCACACAGCTGTCCCCCCCAAGCCGTTAGCATCTATGTCTACCCATAAGTTCCCAGTCTGTTCTCTAAGACAGCGAGGCTTGCACAGAATTTGTTTCAAGGTTGTCTCTGTGGAGAGGCATGTCTTGGGAAAAATTACGATAGCTGCTACAAAGGTGCCACACTCATACCTGCACACACAAACACACACCCCTCAGGAATTCTTTCTTCCCCCATAGCTATGGCAAACGATGCAGAGTTTGATGCTGAGTTTGACACCTACCCAGAGCCTTGCAGGAGGTCTGAGAGCTTGTCTAAAAAGTCTGGTTATACCAGCAGAGATGAGTCCTCAAATGAAGATTTAAGAACCATCAGGTTTCCTGGCTTGGCCAGACCATGGCAGTTATGGCAATGATCCCCCAAGTTGCAACATGGACCACTTGGACTCCAAACCTTGTGGTGGGGCTGTCCCAGTTCTGAGGAGGACTGGGGGACCAGAAGTAGTAGCCATCAGGGGCACCTAGTGGATCAGCTGGTGCCTGGACTTTAGAACCCAAACCTACCTGGACTTACAGGTGGCTCTTGGACAATGATATTGCCCCTGCTGTCTTGAGCTGCCACTAATGATGGGGAAGGAGGTAATCATTAAATATGAATACAGGACTTGGGAGTCCTTCATCTTCCAAGGTGGCCTCATCAGCCCAAGGATTAGAATCAGATTTAGGGCTGCTCCTCCCATCCCCTACTAATTCCCCCCCAGCAACCCTACAGGGAGCTTGGAGATCTCCCAGAATTACAACTGATCTCCAGGTCACAGAGACCAATCCCTCTGAAGAAAATGGCTGCTTTGGCAGTACACCTTACTGAAGTCCCTCCCCTTCCCAAACCCCTCCTCCCCAGGGTTCCCCCCCAAACCTCCAGGAATTTCCCAACCTGGAGTTAGCAGCCCTACAGGCCTACTGGTCATTCCCATTGCTTGGTGGGCTCTTTCTGGGTGCACCACCATTCACAGGCACACACACATACTCTAGGCAGCCTGGATGTACCCCTTGCCAGCCTGGGAGCACCTTGAGCTTCTGGCCATCCAGCCGGACCAGACATGCCCCATTTAGGGTTGCCAACCTCCAGATGGGGTATTGACATCTCCCTGAATGACAACTCTTCTCCAGATTACAGAGATTAGTTCCTCTGACAGCTTTGGAGGGATGACTGTATGGCATCACACTCCTGCTGAATCCCCCCACAAACTCCACCCTTCCAAGGTCCCACCCCCAAATCTCCAGGAGTTTCCCAAGCCGGAGTCAGCAACAACCCTCGCAGCCCTGGCAACCCAGGTGGCACTGGAGCTGTGGGTGCTGTAAGGCTGGAGCGTGCCACTGGCAAACCAATGGTTTCCCTGGTGCCTAGTGTTGCCAGCCTCCAGGCGGGGCCAGGAGTTCTCCCAGAATTACAACTCATTCCCAGACTGTAGAGATCAGTTCCACTGGAGGCAATACCAGATTCAGAGGTTGGACTTTATGGCATCACTTCCCTGCTGAGCTCCCTCCCCAGACTCCTACACCGAATTGCCAGGAACTTCCCAACCTGAAGTTGGGAACCCTACTCGCACCCCCACCCCTGGTGGCCCAGGCAACTGCCTAGGCCCACCTAGCGGATGGGCCACTTCTAGGTAGGAACCTATACCCAAACTGTGAATTCCATAATGAGTGAAAAGTAGCCCAGGGATAAAACCAAAGTTACAAAACTCAGCCCACAGGAAGAATGCAAGGTGATGCTGATGCAGTTTCCTCCTCTCCCCAACATTCATTGTTTTTATAAGATCAGAACATATGGGTTCAGTGGTCCCCACAGTTCTCTCCACAGGGCCAGCACAATTAATAAGAAGTGTGTGCTGTTGGGCTGCAACTAGGGTGCTGGCTGGAGATCTCCCACCATTACAACTGATCTCCAGGTGGCAAGAGACAGTTCACCTGGAGAAAACAGCTGCTTTGGAAGGGGGACTCTAAGTCATTATGCCCCATTGAAGCTCCTCCCCTCCCCAAACCCCACGGTCTTCAGGCTCCACCCCCAAAATCTCCAGAAATTTCCCAATGTGGAACTGGTAACCCTGGTTGCAACTGTCTTATTGCAACCCAGGACCATGGGGTTCTCAAGGCAAGAGATGAACAGATGTGGTTTGCCATCACTTTCCTCTGCACAGCAACCCTTGTCTTCCTCGGTAGCCTCCCATCCAAGTACTAACCATGCCAACCCCTGCTTAACCTCCATGCCAACCCCTGCTTAACTTCCAAGTTTTGACAAGATCCGGCAAGATCCGGCCACCTGTAAGCCGCCCTGAGCCCGCATTGCGGGGAGGGCAGTGTATAAATTGAATTAAATTAATTAATTAATTAATTAATTAAAATAAATAAGGCTGGGCTATCAAGGCTGCTCCAATTTGGCTAGTGCCGTAGAAGAATAACTCTTAAGTAGGTTGATTCAGGTGGGTAGCCCTGTTGGTCTGAAGCAAGAACAAAGTGTGAGTCCAGTGGCACCTTTAAGATCAACAAAGTTTCATTCTGGGTCTAAGATTTCGTGTGCACGCACACCTCTTCAGTTTATACGCGATCTCAAGTAGGTTGTTCTTTTAAGTTGCAGAATAAGCACAGGATCTCTCTTAAAACTCACTTGGGGTTCGCTTCATCAGGAAAATTCACAGCTCACCAGCAGAAAGGAAACTCTCAGCGTGCAGCCAAAGTGTAAAAAAACCCCACCCCTGTTTCATTCAATTGAGTAAAAACATTTAAACTCTCAGGATGTATGCACTGCAGAAAATCATCCAGCATGTGAGCCATCGGCAAGAAAACATTAAAGTGCCAAGACAGGCAACAAATCCTCATAACAAGCTCTGTAGTAAAATCACAATAAAACGGGGGTCGATTCCATCTTTGGAGGCAGCTTACCACTTCAGTGCCAAACAGAGGGCAATTCTGCACTGGCTTTTCCCTTCGATGTTTTAGCAAACCCACGATGGAACAGAAATTCCCCTCTGCATTGCACGCTGCTTTCACTTTCTTTGATCATCGGGTTTTATGGTACCTTCTGCATAGATCTATGGCCTTTCAGAGGTGACTTTGCAGTCAGTACAGCACTGTTGGCCCGGGGTATTTGAATGTGATTTTGAGCTGCACCTTTTCCTCAGTGTTGAAAAAATGTGGAGCAAATGCCAGATGCAGAACCTGCCACACTCTGGTCCCTCCTGTAAAGTTAACAGCAGTGCTAACCTGACCAAAGGAAGAGCAAAGAAACAGCAAGAGAAGGTCTCTGGACTGCTGCCACTAATCTTGCAGCTGCCAGCAATTACCACAACTGAGCCATATCCCCCTCCCTGCCAGGTAAGGTCCTGCCAAACTTACGAAGAGAAGAAGAGGAGAGAGGAGAGATTACGGGCGATTTCGCACTAGAGTTACCTTGCAGCGCAGCTGCCGTTTGCTCCAACACAAACATGTTAATTTCACACCCGAGGCTGCGGGGCTGCATTTGACCCACGGCTTCGCCCGATTTTCTCCGCAGTTTTGTGATCCTTAAAAACCAGGATCACAAAACTGGGGAGGAAATCGGGCGAAGCTGCGAGTCAAAATGCAGCCCTGCAGCCTCGGGTGTGAAATTAACATGTTTGTGTTGGGGCAAACGGTGGCTGCGCCGTGAGGCAACTCTAGTGTGAAATCGCCCTGGATTTATACCCCGCCCTTCACTACCCAAAGGTGTCTCAGAGTGGCTTTCTTTCCCTTCCCCTCCCCTGTGAAGTAGGTGGGGCTGAGAGAGCTCTGACAGAAACTGCTCTTTCCAGAACAGCTCCGAGAGAACTGTGATTGACCCAAGGTCACACCAGCAGCTGCATGTGGAGAAGTACGGAATCAAACCCAGTTCTCCCAGATTAGAGACAGATTAGAGTCCGTGCACTTAACCACTACACCAGATTGGAGTCCGCGCACTTAACTACTACACCAAACTGACCCTTTCCCAATTGTCCAGGCTAATCAAATTATAGGCTCATTCGGCCCTCATCCCTTACACACACGCAAGGATACAATGACACCCTCGAGAGTCACCCTCCATTCACACATGCCGTTCCAGTGTAGAGGGAACGCAATGAAAAGGCTGATTCTGTGGCATGCGGTGTCAGCAACTGGCAAGTCAGGCCTCGGTGCCCGGCTTAAGGGCATCAGCTTTCGAGGCCTGAAAACAGTTCACTCAATTATGGTGTGTAGCTTCAAGGTGCCCCTTGCTGGATTGGGGCCCCGGAGGATTGTCAAGGCTTCTGCCTGAAACGGTGATGTATTCTCTGGAGGGAGACCTCTGATGGCATGCCACGGCAAGAGACTGGGCTAATCCTGATACAGTCAGTGGGAAGCCTTCTGATGTCAGAGCTTTTTTCCCCCCAGATAAGGCTTGAACATATGATTAGTGTCCCAAAGCTGGCTTTGGAAACCGCACACACCTCCCCAAGAAACCTACGTGCATCCCCCGGGGCTGTTGAGGTCTCAGGACATTCCTAAAATATTGCCATCATAAAACAAAAGGATGTGTCTCACTGGGTGTCCCCCCCCCTTACGTGATGTCACACAGCTGCCCTTTAAAAAGCTGCAGCAAAAATTGTAGGGAACCCATCTGAGGATTCAGACTCCAAAGAAAAGGGAGCTACAGAGGGAGGGGGGGGAAGGGACGGTGTCAAGTTTCAAGGTCCGGCCTCAGCCACTAAGGAGAGCGAGCCATGGGCCAGGCCCCTCAGTGCGGCTTCCTGGAGTTCATGCTGCTGGCAGTGTGCAGCTGGGAGGGCATCGCTGCTTTCCCAAACGCCTCCCCACTGCTCAGCCCCAACTGGGGGAACACGGACAGCCTGCTGCACCTGTACACGTCCTCGGCAAGGAACAGTTTCCACCTGCAGATTCACTCCAACGGCCGTGTGGATGGAAGTCCTCACCAAACCGTTTATAGTAAGTAACAGGGGAGCAGGTGGGGAACTTGACAGCGATGCTTGTGCGCTTGTGCCTACTTAGGAGCAACACGGAAGAACATTTTTTAATGTTACTTTTTTGCTGTCGTCATAACTGACTTAGGGCCACCCAGTCGGGTTTTCACGGCAGGAGACATTCAGCAGTGGTTTGCCATTGCCTGCCTCTGCGCAGTGAACCCGGGATTCCCTTAGAGTCCGATAGCATCTTTAAGACCAACAAAGTTTTATTCAAGGTGTGAGAATTTTATTAGTGTGTATAAAGAAAAGGGGAAAGGGGGAAGGAGGGGAGGAAAGAAAATAAAACTTTGTTGGTCTTAAAGGTGCCATCGGACGCTAACTTTGTTCTGTTGCTTCAGACCAACACCTTGATCTGCCTGGATTTTCTTGGAGCTCTCCCATTGGAATACTGACCAGGGCGACCCTGCTTAGCTTCTGAGATCTGATGGTATCAAGCTAGCCTGGGCTATCCAGATCAGTCCTGAAGGAGGAACATTAGAGCACATTTTTGCCCCTTCTTCTCTCATAACACCAGAACTTTGGATCCACCAATACACCTGACAGTCGAGTCAGGCCAGTGAAAAGAAAATGCTTCTCCGACCAGAATGCATGACAGAGTTATGGAATTCACCGTCACTGTTTCTGGTGATGCTCTTTGGGTCAAGCCCTTTCCAGAGGACAGAACAAACGGGGTAGCTGCCAGTTCCTCATTCATTCATTCATTCATTGATCTGCAGACAGCCTCTTGCTTAAAGCTCTTTGCACGTGGGGCTCTCTTAGGGATTCTGGGTTTTTTTAGGGTTCTCCATTGCACAGAGAATACATGCATGTGCACAGCACAGCAGAGATTCCCACCCCAATGCATATTCATTCTACGCCCATTATGATCAGAGAAGCACTCTAGGTAGCTTTTAAAGAGGGTTGGACCTATTCATTTGTTATTTGAGTTCTTGAATCTGTAAAATGATTCTATGTAAAGAAATGCATACGTTTATAAAGACTAGGGCAGCTGACAGTTACTAGCAATGACAAATGAACAGAACTTCTATTTCAGAGAAAATATACCTGTGAATAACGGAGATAGGACATTCTGCTTCTGGTCTTCCAGGAAGCATCTGGTTGGTTACTGCTGGAAAGCAAATACTGCCTACATGAACCTTGGTCTGACTTGCTAGGATGTTAAATGTTCGTTATGTGCTGTGCCCAGAGGGCAATAAATGAAGCAGAACAAGTAAAGCCCATCTGATGATTTAAGAATAATTGTATAAACTGGATTGCCTGGAAATAAGACTCACCCAAAACAATGGAACTTGGTCCAAACTAAACAGGTTTAGAACTAGCGCGGGGGGGGACTTAGCGCTCTCTCTCTCTCTTTAGAAACTGTTTGCTCCTAGTCAGGATTCGATCTGGGCAGTTCAGGGGTTGTGGCATTTGGGGATCAATCCGAAATAGGTCTACTTGGAAGTAAGTCCCATTTCATTCAATGGGGATTACTCCCAGGAAAGAGTCCTCAAGGCTGCAACCTTAGAACCGTGGGATTTCTGTCCCTATCAGTGTTTAGTAGCAAAGGGAATCTGCCATTTGTCATACAAAGATGACCCACATTGTAACTTGTTGGAATTTCCACCTCTGCACAGCTCTGACAGGTACAGTCTTCCCTCCTTGCGGCTAGGAATACAAAAGAATTCTGCTTGCCAACAATGAGCTGTTCTAGCATGTCCAAGGTCCATGGAAGATCCATGCTCAAGTTTAGGCTTGACGCAGGTGGCAAAGCCCTCAAATTCTGCTTGTTTTTTAGAGTCACTTTATATAGAACCTCAAAGATCCAGGGGATGATGAATACTGCCCTGTCTTAAAGAGTTGTTGTAAAGGACAGCAACAACAAAATGGGTGTGAACAAAGCACTCTGAACACTATTTAAATGCAATATCCTTACAAAGGCCATATGTAATCATGCCCACTTTACAGATCAGGAAAATGAGACAGCAACTTGGCCAAAGGCACCCAAGCAAGAATTGGAATCTCTAGTTAGAACTTTTATGTCTGTAAAAAGCAGGAAATGTATTGTAAATGTACCTGATGTTCTGTTACGTAGCTCAGAGGAAATGGAAACCAGGCAGATAACTTTAAAGGATGCAATTCAAATAGCTAAAGCATTTTAAAAGTCCCAACAACCTCAATTGGGACTTTTAAAAGTATATAATGTTAGCCAGATTGTATGCTGAAATTGAGATACAGCTGGCATGGTTATCCATTCCCCCCCCCCTGCTTTTGTGGAGTGAAATGATGGAACAATCTTCATCACTGGAGTCACTTGGATGCAGGACAGGGCCGTCTCCCTCGGCCATCCATCTTTTTTTTCACAACAGCATGGAGAACAGTTAAAAAGCCCATCCAAAGGTGCACATGGCTTTATCCAGAATATAGTGGGCTGCATAGGCTATCCTTGGGAGCAAGTTCCTTAAAAGGCTGGCATTTGCACATGAGTGTTGTGCCAGGAGTCCACAAACTTAACAGTCCAGTCTCCCAGGAGACATTTTTCCCACTTAACCTTCAGGCCAGCGGTGTGAAACTTTACTCGTCTGCCTGCCTGCCTATGCCTTGTTAACAGATTTTGTGTGTGTGTTTCAGAATCTGTAAGAAGGCATCAGCTATCCAGGGAATTGCCTTGTAATTTCCACCCATTAGATCTAGTCTTGCAATCCGGAGCAAGAGAGAATAGATCCGCTCCATCTTCTACATGACAGCCCTTCAGATACTTGAAGACTGCAATCATATTTGGTTGGGATCCAACCCCATGTGTTTGGATAAACTTTAGAGAGGTCTAATGGTGGCCAGACAAAGGTGCTAGAATTTATGAGATGCTGTTGGCCATGTCTCATTTAAGGTGTGAAAAGACACCCTAATATCTGACTACTCAATTTCCCTTATTCAGGTGCCCTAGTCATCAAATCTGAAGGGGCAGGCTTTGTTGGGATCAGCGGTGTGAAAAGTGGGCGCTATCTCTGCATGGACCTCAGCGGGACTATCTTTGGATCGGTAAGTCTTCCTCAGGCATAATTTAGTTAGGCATGCAAAATTATCTGGTGCCCTTATCCCAGTGACCTGTGCTCTGGTTCTTTGCCAAATGAATTGACACAGGCTGGAATAGTTGTGTTCAGGGCTTAGGGACTCATATGCAAGCCTCCAACTTTCTTCTGCCAATGCTTCACCATGACCCTGAGCATCCCAGAGCTGTGCCATAGAGGTGGTGGGGAAGGATGCAACTCCCCCACCCTGCAATAGCACTAGAGATTTAGGTTTGCTTTTGCAAATCCTGAACTTGACATGGTTGAGAGTCTGTTGGAAATAGACAGGCAACCATTAACAAGATGGTAACTTGCCTTGGCACATGTAGCTGCTCAGAGAGCAAGTGCCTGATAGGGATGAGTATGAATCAGGAAAATATGGTTCGGTTCGGTTCATGGTTTGTGGTGTGCCCAGTTCGCAAACCACAAACTGTCATGGATGTTTAGGGGCTAAACAAACTGGTAGAGTGGCCCTCTAGCATGCTAGAGACACCAAACTCGCAAGAGATCTCTGGCTCTCTCTCCTCTACCTGCCCTCCAAGTTTGGTGAGGATTGTTTCCAATGGAGGGGGAAAGACAGCAAAAAAGCAAGGGCAATAAAAGCCCAGCAGAACAGACTCAAAGTCCCAGAGAATCTCTGCAGTAGAAACTGAAGGTGGGGGCATTTTTGCAAGCCCAGGAGAACCAGTGCAATGTGCCCAGCAGAACACCCAGCCAGGACTAAGGTCAAGCCAGAGAATCTCTGTAGTAGAAACTGAAGGGGAGCATTTTTTGTGAGCCTAGCAGAACCAGTGCAATGTACAGAGTGCCCAGCAGTACCAGTGCAATCAAAGAGTGCCCAGAAGAATCCAATGCCATTGTGGCAGTGCCAGCGCAACAGGAGTGATGTGAAGTACAGAATCATGATCCAAGCAGGGGGGGGTTGCAAGCTCAGCACACCCAGTTACAATGTGCAAAATGCCCAGTGGAACCCAGTGCTTAAAAGGACTGCTCTCAAAGCACAGTCACAACAAATCCAAGAAGGGGGGTGGGATTTTGCAAGCTCTGTGGAAGAAAATAAGAAGGAAACACAAAAGAACATGGGCAAAGGGGGGGGGGAATCCTCTTGAAACTGACAGGACTAGTTTGAAACTGATCCCCCTGTTGCTTCTTTGGTAAACATTTAGATTGAGTAGAGACAGTCTGTCTAGAAATGTATCCATTCAGGAACCTCCGCGAACAGCTTGAAAGTTTGTGGAAAGTTTGTTCCAGTTGACCTGTCACACACACTTCACTTCGCAAACCACGAACTGGCCAAAATTCATCAAAACTTTAGTTCATGAGTTGGTTCATGCCCATCCTTACTGCCTGATCTGCCTTCTCCTCTTTCACAACAGAAAGGAGAATGTCATTGCTTTTCTACTGATTTCCTATTTTCCTGCAACAAAATTCTCGGTAAAATGTGGCAGTTTCCCCCCCCCCCCAAGGGTTAGTTTGCATGTGTGTGTTACTGAGAAAGAAACACTGGTCCTCGTGCAGCTGGCATAGTTGAAAGAACAGAGATGAGACAGGGGTATAGGGAAAGGTTGATTGGTGACTGACAGCGCCATGCTAAGCAGAGGCACACCCTTTGAAGTCCAGTGAAGTCACAGATGTAACTCTGCTTAGGATGGCACTGTCAGTCTCTCTTGAGCACTGCTGGACATCTTCTATCAAATACAGTCAAATGCTGTTACCATTGCATGTTGACGATTGAATGAAGTTGATATATCATTGCATATCAATTATCAGTTATTATCAGCAGGGGCCATGGCTCAGAGGTAGAGCATCTGCCTTGCATGCAAAAGATTTCAACTTCCATCCCAGGCATCAACAGTTAAAAGAATCAGGTCGTAGGTGGTATGAAAGACCTCTGCCTGAGACCCTGGAGAGACGCTGCCAGTCTGAGTGACGCTGACTCTGACAGACCACGAGTCTGACTCAGTAAATGGCAGCTTGATGTGTTCACATTATCCTCAAATACAAAATTTCAAAATCCATTGTCATAGAAGGGCAAAAAGATATTCAGAGAATATTCAGCATCAGAATTTGCAGCTGAGAATCTTGATAGGGTTTTTTTTTAAAGTCAAGTACCTTTAATGGCATAGTAGTAAGATACATGGCTATACAATAACACAGTATAGATAGGGTTTTTTATTAGGTTAGTTTTCTTTGGGTTGGTTGCTTGAAATTGACTTTAAATTGCAGCTACATATGTGTGTGTGTTAAGTGCCAGCAAGTAACTTACAATTTATGACGACCCTATGAATTACCGGCCTCCAAAACATTCTATCACCAACAGCCTTGCTCAGGTCTGACAGACTGAGTGCCGTGGTTTCCATTACTGAGTCAATCCATCTCATGCCGGGTCTTCCTCTTTCCCTGCTACCTTCAACATTTCCTAGCATTATTGTCTTTCCCAGTGAGTCCTGTCTTCTCATAATGTGACCAAACCCTGATAGCTTCATTTTGGTCACTTTAGCTTCTAGGGAGAGTTCAGGCTTGATATGATCATGAACCCACTACAAACATATACGTCTTTTCTAAATACACACATTGCAGCTCTAGTTTTAATATTGTCCCAATTGTTTTCTTCAGCACTACTTCAGTTATGAAGACTGTACTTTTAAACACTGGACCCTGGAAAATGGTTACGATGTCTACCAGTCTCCAAAACACCACTACCTAGTCAGCCTGGGCAAAGCGAAGCAACCTCTGTTCCCTGGTATGAATCCACCACCCTTCTCCCAATTCCTGTCCCGACGGAATGAGATTCCTTTAATCCAGTTCAACACGCCAGAACCTCGCAGGTTTACCAGAGATGCCAACACAGATCCCTTGGGTAGCATCATCCCAGCACCAACTGGCATGAGAAATTCCCAGAAGTTACAAAATCCCTGCATGCAACCAAACTCGCTGCACCATTCTGCTGCGGTCAACAGCATAGACCCGCATGGTGCAGTCATCTGCAGGAATAGCCTTCGTGGTTAAATCAGAGCGGGAAGCAAATCAGGGCAGCACCTTCATTGCTGCATTGACCCAGAACATAACCTGAACAAATGTTTCGAAAGTCCCTATTGAACTGCTATACAGCCTGAAAACATTTTTTTCCCAGGTAACCTATTCAGGATAGGACTTCAACTTTTTAAAAATGTAAATGATGTGTCAGTGCACTCACAAGCCCTAACCAGAATTATTCTTGAGCACTTTTTTTTTTTTAATTTGGTCTTCCTTACACTGGATGGAAGGAGACCTGAAGTTTTAAGGTGGTCATCCACATCTGTTTGAAGACCCCTGGGCAGGAAGAATGGCTTCTGAGATTACTTCGGTGTGTCTTCCCTAGACTGCGGTGTTCAGTCAGCCTCTGTACCTGTTGACGTTGTGCAAATCTTCTCTTTCTCACCTTTAACTAGACTTTGGCTCAAATTTAACAGAGCGCTTAAGGAGCAGCTTTTTTGATGGCCCAAATCTCAATGATCACCTGTTTAGTGGGAAACTATGGCTAGTGCCACAGGGGTCTCATGGCCCAATTTGCTACAGGGCTTTTAAAATATCCCAGTCCACCCCCGAAGTTAAAACTGTTTGAAACACAGCACATTGGAGCAACTTTTGAACTCCAGTCTACAGCCTGAGAGCCATTCTTTACCATACGAGGTTTTCTTCCTCCTCTTTCTCCACGTCTTAGACAAAAAGTCCCACATGACAACACACACAAAAAAAGTAGCAGTGCTGCAGATGCAACCAACTTTGGGGTGTTTCCCAGCTCTGGATCTCCCCCACCCCAACTGAAGATCAATGTAGGTAACACACGCTGGTATGCAGCTTGGCAAGAGGGATTTTAGCAATACTTGAAAAAAAAGTAAGAGTTGTGGAGCATGAATACAAAATATACTCAGGCCCATGGGTCTCCTATGGCCTTGTGAGCCCAGAATGTTAAACCACTGCATAATTCAGCACTAGAAGTCATTCATATTCTTTACACACCATATAGCAGAAGGTCTCACCACAAACTGGCATCATTCTGCTGGCATTAGTCAGAAGAGCCAGCCTCTATGACTGGCAGAATCATGTGAGATAGCTCTGAAGGAACTGGACCACTTCAGATGGCAGACTATTCACAGCTTTTTAAAAAAGGTCCCATAGACAGAAAGCTAACTTGGCAGGGAGAAGGGCCTTCACCCATCCCTTGCCTTGACATGCTAATTGTTTTTAACTTGGAGCACAATCAAACAAATCTGCTGCAGGCTGTTGATGCAGGAAAAGCCACGCTACACTGTCTTCTGATGGTATGGTTCATCTTTTACTTCTCTTGGTTAGCACCAGCATTTTCATCTTCAAGCCCTGGTACAATTAAATAATCCTACGTGTTATTTAAAAACGTTTATTTATTTAAAATATGTCTGTGCTGCCTTTCTACCCAAATAGGGTCTTCAAGGCAGTCTTCAGATTTTTCTGTGGCATACCATAAACATTTGTTTCTTCTGCTACAGTAAACTCTTCCAAAGGCTAACCCTCATTGATAGTCAACTGGTCCATTCTGGCCAAAACATGGACTGCAACCAGGATCCGTGTCAGTCAACCTAGGCCATCTTTGGGGGTAGACAATTAGATTTCACTGATTTAGAGTTGCACGATTAATTCATGCTTAGAAGGACTACATGCTGGCCTATTTTTATTTTATTTTTGTTGTGTGTTTTTAAAAAAATCCTACCTTTCCTTTCTAGCCCAAGGTGGCTGGTAAATTGCCTACTATATGTACTGGACTGCACTACTGGAAAATGTAAAATGGCTTTCTCTGGAAAAATGTAATTTTTTAAAAAAGATGAAGCAACTAAAAAAATGTACGTGTTTTAGAATGAACTGTTCAGAAGGAGGACATCACCTGCTAACAAGAAACAGGGTTAATGCATTTTTTATATTGCCATATTTATTTATTTATTTGAATGATTTAGTTACTGCGGGCATATTTATGAATATTTATGATGATGCATTCCTCAAATTTCCTTTTTTTTAAATGAAGATCTAAATAAATGTTTCATTTTTCTTAGAAAAAAAATGCCTTGTATTGTGGTTTTTAAATTCCTCTGCCTAAGTATCTAATGCAGGTAGTCCAAACTGTCTGCTGTGAGAAAATTAAGAGCTGAAAGGACTGCAGTGCTTTTCCAAGACACTTATCACAGGATACTTAAGAATTCTGCCTTTGTCATAATAGTAACATGCATCTGACAAGCCAACATATGAGTAGCTGGAATCACTCATCGTTACATCTCCCAGTTTGCTTTTTCCATCTTAAGATCACTCTTTAAGAGTTCCGGTCCAGAGTTTAATAGGATATCCCCAATATCACTTTTTAGGTCTGGGGGTCTCCACCTCCAATGATTCTGTGAAGTTTAATCCTCTTATGTTTTCTTATCTGACTTTCTGGTTTGGATCCAGTGATGCATGAGCAGAAAGGGAAACGTACTCAGCACACCTCCACATGGGCAAGGAGTAGCCCAGCCGATGCAGCAACACGGAGTGTTTTCTATATAATTTCTAATGAAATGAGTAGAGGAAATAGTGGAAGGTACAGCAGACAGCTTGCGTGATTTTATATAACTGGCTTTTGAAACTGCATACAAATAAATCTTGCACACACGGGAAAAAATGTAGTGGGGTGCAACACTGCTTTAAAGCAGAGCAGGCAGACAGTAAGGAGTAATTCTGGTGTTTCCATTTAACATAAAGATATGGAAATCTTCTGTCAGATCCAACCCCATGTCCTCTTTGACCACCACTCTTGCATGCCCTTCCCAGTCCCTTCTATGGTGTTTACACCTCAGAATTCTGAGATTTTCCCCGTTCCACCAGATTTCTGTAATACTGAATATAGCTATACTCTCATTTAGCGCCAAGCAATCCAGCTTCCTAATCTTGGTTTGCAGGCTTCTAGCATTTGTGCATAAACATGTACCTTGTTTTTCCAAGTATTCTTGGTGCACACGTTTTCCCATTGGTCTCTTTACAGGACTGTCATTTCCACACACCTAATAGAGTTCTAGCCTGTCCCTATTTGGATGATGTAGAATGTTTACCACATCATCTAGGATCAACGTGTCATCCCAAACCTCCCCAGCTCTTGACGGCTGTCTTTCAAGAGCAAATTTAAAAACTCCTGTGCAGCTTTTGGCAACATTACACATCAGCAATCTGGTTCCGTTTCAGTTCAGGTTCTTTTTAAGCATTCTGAAAGCAATCCCATAAAAAGAAATCAAAGATAATGCTGGGTCAATAAGTGGAGTTGAATGCCTTTATTTTAAAAAAATACCCATTTCAACAAATGAAAACAATTAACAGACTCTAGCAGCTCTGCATTTACATATCTACAGACAGCGTCAATCTCCTGAAGACAGAGGAACACAACGGTGACAGGGAGGAGGGAAATCACAACATACACTCAAGGAAAAAAAGCTAACAGATTTTGCATGAATATATATAGGGAGTCCCCAGGATACTACAGACATAAGAGGGAATGTCCCTGCCAGCAGTTTTTTGAAGGACAAACGTATTTTTGGCTACATGCAAATTTTACATTATACATATGGAGGACAGATAACTGTGCTCATCAGAGCATCAAAGTGCTTCAAGAAGTTTCATCCTCTCTGCACTGCCAAGAGGTAGTTAAGCATGTATATCAATACCTTCACTATCGTCTGGGAAAACTGAGGTATGGAACAAAAGATTTCGCTAATCCAGGTGTATCCTCCAAGCCGTCCTCACAAACCTTTTAGGCTCTTACTTGATGTGCCACTTGGCCCTGGCCTGCGGACGATGCAACGTGTTAGAAGGGTGGCCCAGGCTGACAGATGATTGCACAGGGAGCCAGTTTGCCCCATTTCCCTGCGTTTTTTGTGATATGGCTATTACCTTTCATTGTCCCTTTTGAAAACTGGTTTTATTGTCAGCAGAGGGGGGGGGATGATAGTAGTGTGCAGACAAGCAAGAATTTATTTTAGAGTATTTAAATGTATATGATATGGAGTGTTTCAGAAATAAAACTGAATGGCCAGTGACCAATTTTACAGAAATGCCATTCTGAGAGCCTCTCTCTATTTATCCACAAAACTGACTGCCTGCAAATTCCATTTTCACTATCCCCGGTCCCTCCAAACACCTCCTTTTGCAACTGGGTTGCAGTTAGGGCAGCGGGCAGATGGAGAGGGCTCACTTGGTCTCAGGGCTTCTGTATACCTTGTAGATACCATGAAAAGCCATCTTCCACACACTTGATCTGATGCTAGCCCCAACAAGCAACATGCCACCTTGATTCTTACAGGTACTGGAACAGGCCATACCACTGAGCTGTCCAGTTCTAGGGTCCAGCGAGGAAAATGTGCACCAGGGCTTTTTAAAAAAACAAACAAACAGAGGAACTCTAAAGAGGGAAATGAAGTTTTCAATCTGTATACTGAAAACTCATGAACTTTTAAACATTTTAAAAATAATTTTGTCTAAGAGGTTCCGGAACTCTGTTCCAGCGCGTTCCCCCAGAAAAAAAGCCCTACTGTGCACGCTCAGGAGTACCCCAAGGGTGAGAAACTGAGAGTCACAACAGAGAGACAAGCTGCCAAGATTTGCAGATGTCCTCATTCAGCTATTTTTAAAAAGAAGTGTTCATGTTATAAGGAGGAGGGCTGAATGGGAAAAGTGGCTCAACTTCCTGCTTTGTTCATGCTCTCTCTGTTGCATATAAAGACCAAAAGCCAGATTTAGAAGGAGGCAACTGGCTGCAGAGGAAGGGGGGGATATATCCACATAACCACAGAAACGAAAAAAACTGTTTGGCACCCCAAATCCCACCTGCAGTCCCTAAATTCTCCTGTGCAAGCCCCATCGAAATGAACACCCCAGTGGCACGTGCTCAGGAGGCCAGATCTGGCTTCCACGGCTACCTTTAAAAGACGCTCCAAACCCACTGCCTGAGATGGCTGATTCCTCTTTCCTTGTTGAAGGGGAGACTTTTACATTTATTTAATAAAGTGCTAAGACACAGAAACTTACAAGACACATGGGCACCACATATATGACCTGTGCTTAATACTGCAGTACTGATGAAAAAGCCCAGGCAATTTCAGTCATGCACGGGAGTAAATGATGAGCAACTACTTTTGCAAATATTGTATGGACAGCCTAAAATCAGTTGCTAAAGAGCTAACTGTTGCAACAGAATATGAATTTATTCTGTTTATTTTCCCTTTTCATACAGCCCATACAACTCAAATAATGTAAAAGAAAAGATGCTTGTACTCACTGCATAAATACATGTTGTATTTTTAACTGTTTCAGAGCTAAATATTTTCAGCTGCCATATCACCTAAATGATCATCTCTGTTCAGACAAATGCACTGGATTTTAGGCTTAATATTATCTCTGTTCTCAAGTTTTACAATGAACTTACTAATTCCAGTATTGGGACTCACAGAAGAGAGCTCAGCCTTTGTCAAAGAGGCTGGCAAAATACATTTTAGGTCCAAAACAAAATAGCTCAGCCAGTTCCTCATGTAGGCCCCGTGACTCACAACCAGTATGTTGGCGACCAGCTCTTCAGTAGCTCCCATGGAACTGGAATGAAATTCCGTGCTCCCATGGTGGTTTGTCAGGAAGGTACTAGAACTTCCTCCTGCTCCTTCTGTGTAATTTCCAGCTCTCCTTTCGGTGCCTTTTTCCTGATATGCTTCCCTGACAATAAGACTACAAAGATCTGCAAAAAAGTCCTCACTGCGTGCCTTTACCTAAAGTGAAGTGGAACAACAAAATTATGAGACTGTGAAACTATCGCCCAATAAACCCACACAAGACCCTCCTCAAATACTGCCCTGGCTTCCTGTCCCCTTCTGTCTACAGCACAAACTCTTTGTCTTTACCTTTCAAGCTCTCCATGGGCTCAACTCACACATTCCTCTGGTTCTAGCGTTCTGTTACATCCCCACCTGCTCACCATCCTCAAAGTCTCCTGGTCCCATATATGGTCCCATCCTTTCTCCCTTGTGGCCCCTTGTGCCTGGATCTGGTGGCCTCTCCAGATCCTTCCGGCAAACGCACCCATGCCAGGACACTTTCAGTTTAACCTAACAGACCTCATGCCCCACTTCATTGGCTCATATTCATTCTTTGTAACATTTGTTGCTTCCTTCTCCCCTTCCTTCCTTTGCTTTACCCCCACTACTAACAATTAAATTGTAGGCCCCTTGGGGGAAAGACAAGTCTTTTTGCCTACATGTCTTCATCAGGTGCCATGGCCTATATCTTTCATTAATGATGGTGATAATGACGACGACAACAATACAAGGAAGACCGGACAACTTATGAAGCAACGTAATACTGTACTTCTTCTAGGGTTTCTCCTCCAGGAGGTGTAAAGGACGGACACTGCTCCCCAGCAGCTTTTGCCATAGTCCTGAGGTCACTCAACGGCCTCCCTTCTGCCACTCCGTACTTCTGTTTAAAAAAATAATGGTGCATTGGGAGAGTGTTGTAATTCAAATGTAGAATGTATGAGAAGGTATGCAAAGACAATCTAGATCAGCCTCTGTAGAGAATTATTTCAGGTGGGTAGCCAGAGAGCCATCTTGGTCTGCAGAAGAAGAACAAGACTTGAGTCCAACAGCACCTTAAAGATGCCTGGCTGGTCCTGAAGATGCTACTGGACTTGAACCTTGCTCTATGCAAAAGGCTAGGTAGGCCCTTTCTCCATCTTGATTTTTTTTTAACTACCGGGTTCACTTCAAGTCCTTCTACATGGATGTGATTTTGCAACAGTCAGCTTTCAAAGCTGCTATGCAACAGACAGATTCTCTCCTCCAGTAGCAATGCTGAAGAGCCTGCCTCTCTTTACCCCTCTTCATCTCTTGTGAGCAACGAAATCTATTATGTGAGCTGGTGCTCAGGAGTTCAGGGAAAAGAACTTTGGCGCTTCCTAAGAACCCAGAGCACGATAAAGGACAAGAGGTTTTTAAACCTCAACATTTCCTTCCACTCTTGCTGTTCATTTCCCAGCATCACAGAATATCTTATGCTTGCTATCCCTTGAGATAAAAGCCTTCCTGAATACCAAGAAAACATGTTCAGGGGGGGAAAAGAGGGGGGGGGAATCAAAATCCTCATTGTTGACCCTGTTATCTGCTAGTTTTCCTGTTTAGGAGTTTGTGGAAACTTGCTTCCCTCTTAATGGGTACTGCTTGCAAGATCTCTGAGAAAAACCCATGGACATTTCAAATGACTGGCTATCGTATATTAATTGTAATGAATGAAATATTTGCCCAAGTGACCCCCTCCCCCCACTCAGAAAGTCCACATTAAAAGTTGCACACACTGTCCAGCAGCAAATTGGTCTACACTGGATATTTACATCGCCCTCTCCAGAAATTCCTTGCACACCTGGGAGCTCTGAAGCAGATAAAGTGCCTGCAAAGACCTGCCTTTTGGGCCAAGTTGATTGGAAAGGCAGCATAGAAATGTTTTAAATGAATAAATGACTATGTCCCTTGACATGGCAGTGAACTGGGGCAGGGGGAGTCTTGCTGGAACCTCCGCATGTGCACTGAAGAATCTATGAACCTCAAGGGCTTTGCGAGTGGTAAATCGAGATCTGTGATTCTGCAGAAAAATTGTGACAATAGAAACATTTCCTGTACTCACCCGCTCTCGGAGTCTTGAGTCATATTTTACAGCAATCTCTTTGCTAAACTGACTCTTTCTGAGAATTGAGGCTGCCGTCTGAAACATGAAGCAAACAAGCCATGTTCAAAACACAAACTGTAAATGATAAAGAGGTGTCTCGGGGAATTCTTTTTTAAGCAGATGCTTATACTGTAAACTTGTAATTTAAAAGATATAACTCCTATGCTATCTGGCTTTCTCTTGTGCTCTTCTAGGAATGCAGGAAATGAAAAACAAATAACCTGCATTTTTCTGGAATAAAGCGTGCAGCTTCCTCGCCTGCTTTAGCCTCATTTCCAATGTTATACTATGAGAAATTCTACTTTCAAAGAAAACGGTTAACTGTTCATGTCAACTGAAACGGGTTCATTATTCGTCGGGCCAGGAGCAATAAAAAATTCACTACACCTTCCAACAGAAGAACTACAGATCTTGGAAGCAGCAAGAAAAGACAGTTGTGAACTGACAATATGACCAACTCGGTAACTATTTTTGTACAGCAATATGTGGCATCAATTGTTTTAATTTACTACACAGACATAGAGCTTGTGAACCTACTTTTGCCGCTACAATATTGGAAATTTCTTTACTGTGTTTTTTTTTTACACTGGGACAGACGACAGTGTTATCTTAAGTGGGGTTACGCCTTTCTAAGCCCAGTGACTTTAATGAACGGCTCAGGAGGACACTGTGAGTTTCCCCTTGTGCCACTTGTAGGAGATATCAGTCAACAAAGAACAACCGTGGGCATGTTAAAAGATGGCACCCTCCCTCATCCCATGCACAGAGTGCTGTGCTCTATGCAAGCCTTTTTTCCATGGGTGTTTCTTAAGAACAGCCGTGAATGGGGTCCACGGCTAGGAGAGGAGAAAGATTTGTTGTAAGATGCCACTGTCCCATCTTGAGCTGGAAAACCCAGAGAAAAATTATTTAGTGCTTAGCAACAGAAATAAACTGCTACTACAACCAACCCCTTCCCCCCCCCCAATCTTAGAACTGCTGCTAGCAGCTTTACAGTGCAGTCCTGTGCAGATCGTTTCAGGGGAGCAGCCATGTTGGTCTGCAGCAGAAGAGCCGGATTCAAGTGCAGAAGCACCTTAGTAACCAGCATGGTTTCCAGGGCAGAGGCTTTCCAGACTCAGAGCTCCCTTCATCAGATACCATCCAACAAAGGGTGTTTTGACTCTCAAAAGCTCACCCCCCCAAAAAAAATCTTGTTGGTCTCTAAGGTGGTACTGGACTCAAATCTAGCTATCCTATGCAGAGTTGCTGTAGTCAAAATCCATTGTTTTCAATTGATTCAGACTGGAGTTAACTCTACCTAGGGCTGCTTTGCGAGGGAGTCAAGTTTTCACTCCTTATGCAAATAATATAACTGTGACGACCTCCTCATTCTGGAGGTCTGGTTTCACTTTAAAAGTGTTCTGTATTTTGTTTAACTGGGTAGAATCTGCTGCCACCAGGAAATTTTAAGGATTTCCAAACCTTTAAGCTTTTACTTTTACTCTTACTGGTTAGGTAGACCGAGTTCAAGGCTTACGAGGAACTATGTGGTCCTGGGAAGTATTTCTTTCAGAGCTGGTATACTTGAATGAAAGAGGATTTATTAAAATAAAGCATGAATAAGAGGGTAGTACAATGTAACTAGTAATGTGTAAATACTGAACAATTTCTTTGGTATCCCACACAATCTTCTCTCTCACTGACAGGGATCTTTGCATGTAACTTTGTAACACTTGTTTATCTCAATGCCATATACGTTTACTGTTCCACTCCAGTCTGTTATGACACACAGACTTTCCTATAACTTTTCTTCACTTAAACTTTACTTTACTTTTCCTATACATTCAGCTTTTAGATCTGTTTCCCTTTTTAATTGAACAACCGCAGCTGTCCTTCTATAACTGCATCAACACAGAACTGCTTGTCTAACTAACTGAACATCAACTGTCAACATCTAACTGAAACTACTGACTGACATACATATGCATCCATTCAGATTCACTTCCAAGACCCCTCCCCCTCTGTCAACCACCAATCATACCATACTAGCCTCTCTCAACCACTCTAGTCTATCTATCACAGCCATGCAACCAAACTTTTAAACACACACACACACACACATAAACAAGGAATCGTTACAATAACGTTCATCTGTGATTTGCCCTCCGAAAAGAAACCCACAGTATCTTGTCTCTTTGTAGTTGACACCACTGCTGTATGATTCCTAAAAAAACCCCAAATACTCAGAAAACAAATCTCAAAACATCAGACCACTCTTTTCATTTTATTTACACCCTAAAATTGCTCACCTGCTTAGCCCGAAGCAAGTCACTCGAGAACACGTGAGTAAATCTGACATTGCTGAGAAAGACACCAGCAGCATTGGCTTGTTGGAAGCCCGTCTGAGAGAGAGGTTCATCTATGCCCTGCCCTGCAAGAGTCGGAATATTGGGGAAATCAAATGCAAACACACATAAACAGACATGAAGCTGCCTTGTACTGAATCAGATCCTTGGTCCACCAAACTCAGTATTGTTTACTCTAACCCGCAGCAGCTTGCCAGGGTCTCAGGCAAAGGTCTTTTACATCACCTCCTACCTCATCTGGTTTCTCTCTGTTTGAACACAGACTACAAATTCCTTGGGGGCAGGGATTAGCCTTGTTTTTGCTTGTTGTTATTCTATTAGTAGGGTTGCCAACTCTGGGTTGGGAAAGATTTTGGGGGTGGAGATTTTGGGGGCTGGAGATTTTGGGGGTGGAGCTTAGAGAGGATTAGGTTTTGGGAGGGGAGGGGCCTCAGCATGGTACAATGCCATTGAGTCCACCCTTTAAAGCAGCCATTTTCTCCAGGGGAACTGATCTCTGGCAACTGGAGATCAGTTGTAAAAGTGGGAGATTTCCAGGCCCCACCTGGAAGCTGGCAACCTTATCAGTCACTTGAGCAGTCTATTTCCCACTGTTCAGATTGTAGCAGAGGGACAATCGCATGCTGAGAGCTCCCTTCCTCCTGGTAAAACAAAATTCCAACATTAAAAGTAAAACAGCGGGGAGAAAGAAAGCCTAGCCATTTGCATGGTATGCTTGTAGTGAGGAAAAAAATATATAATCCCCCCCCTCCATTCTGAAGTGGTCCATTCCATTCCACCAGTTCATTCTGCCACATGTATAGACCAGACCTGAGTTAAAACGTTAAACTAAAAGCCACTGTGATTTTAAGTAATAATTAATTAATAAAGAGGCACGAACCTTGTAGTATCTTCTCTTTATTGTATCTTGTTTCTCCACTGAAAGAGAAAAAATACTTCAGAGAAGAAGAATCTTTTATAAAAGACAGACTTAACATGCACATAGTGGTGGGCTGGGGTTGGGCAAGCAGATTTATCCAGATGGGGAAAAAAATTTAAATCTCCTGGCTGGGAAGAATTTCTGCAATTAAAATGAATGTACTGCCAAAACGGAACTTTTTGTTTCAAATGTTACCAGGCCTGTAGCCAGGAATTTCTAAGTCGGGGGGGGGGGCTTTAAATTTCTCGGGGGGGGGCTTGGCACTGGCTAATTTAAATAATTTAATTATTCAAAGGTGGGAGGCAGAGGTGAACCCTGCAGATAAAAAGGGAATGGGGCGGGGAGGAATCCTCACCATTCAAAGGTGGGAGGCAGAGCTGAGCTCTGAAAATAAAAAGGGAAAGGGGAGAGGAGAGGAGGAATGGAAGCAAAATCATGGGCTTTGAAGCTGAGGGAGGGATTGGGCACTGTGACACTTGCTCTGCCGGCTTGGGAACTGGAGGGATGAAGGCGCTCTGGGCTTGCCTTTCTGGCCAGTGAGCAATGAGAGAGAGCAGAGCAGCAGCCTGGGATAACCCAACCCCAGGGGCTTGACTTGCCAGCCGAAGAGAGGCAAGAGAGAGCAGCAGCAGCAACGTGAGATTGGAGGCAGGGCTTGCCTTGCTGGCCGGCAAATAACAAGAAAGAGCAGAGGCGTGGGATTGGAGGGAGGAGGAGGAGGAGATTGGATTTATACCCCACCCTTCACTCGGAGTCTCAGAGCGGCTTACAAACTCCTTTCCCTTCCCCTCCCCACAAGAGACACCCTGTGAGGTGGGTGGGGCTGAGAGAACTCTGATACAAACAGCTCTTTTTCAAGGACAGCTGTGCCAGAGCTTGTGACTGACCCAAGGTCACATCAGCAGGTGCAAGTGGAGGAGTGGGGAATCAAACCCGGCTCTCCCAGATTAGAGTCCGCGCACTTAACCACTACACCAAACTGGGAGGGCAAGGGGCTTGCCTTGCCCAGAGAGAGCGGCGGGCAAGAGAGGGCAGCACAAGTGGCGGTGACAAGTGCAATAAATAAAATTAAAAATTGGAAGTTGGGTTGGAGGGCCTGGGCTGGGTGAGAAGTTGGGGGGCCTTGGTGGTAAGTCAGGGGGCCGGGCCCCAAAAGTCTCCAATGTAGCTATGGGCCTGAATGTTACCCATACATATAGAAGTAAAGGTTCCCTTGCTCGAAAGCCACTCGAATCCAACTCTAGGGTTGCGGTGCTCATCTCCGTTTCAAAGCCGAAGAGACAGCGCTGTCCAAAGACGTTTCCATGGTCATGTGGCCGGCATGACTAAACAGCAAGGCACATGGAACGCTGTTACCTTTCCACTGAAGTGGTACCTATTTATCTACTTGCAATTTCTTGCTTTTGAACTGCTAGGTTGGCAGGAGCTGGAACTAGAGACGGGAGCTCACTCTGTCATGTGGCACAATCGGGTCTCGAACTGCTGGACTACCGACCACAGCTCTACATATAGAAGAAAGAACACTAAAAAAAATGGCAGAGATAAATTCATTTAAAATGGCAAGAAACCAAGAGTCAGTTTTAAAGTATTACAAGATCAGAGAAAGAGAGGAGGATTAGCAATTCCAAACATAACATCATGCTACCAAGTGGCAGGTTTGGTTTGGATTGCTGACTGGATTAAAGACACAAGACAAAGAAGAGTAAAACTTGAATCAGCAGATATAGACAAAGGCTTGCATGATTATTTATGGATTAAGAAATCAACTAAAACGATTATAACACAAGAAAAAAGCCATATAATCAGAGACAGACTGTTGAGAATATGGTTCATATGCCAGAATCTATTGAGCCCTCCAAATTCTCCGCTTATGTACACAATAGTGGCCTACCACAATAAAAATACCAGACACAAAAATGACTTTCTCACGTACAGTACCATGATAAATCCTCAGGGGAAAATCAAGTCATGGCAAGACGTTAGGGATGAAGGAATAAATATTCAATGGTTGTTATGTCATCAATCATCTTCAAGACTAAAGAAGATCATAAACACTGAAAGTGGTGTCAAACTCAGGCCAGTTACTTTCGTTTTCTAGCAGTCCTGGTTCTTATCACTGTACCTTCGCTTGCCATTTCAAATTCCTAGGGGGGGAGTGGCGTCCCAAGATAGTTCCCGTGAGACTGTCCTTGGAGTTCTCTATGCCAGGCTAGGTTACATAGCCTGTCCATAGGTTAGATATATCTGTCCATGTTGCCACAGAAACACCAGGGACTAGGTATGATGTCCGTGTGTATGGAATTTAGGGGTTTTACCTATATCTTGTTTTTTCTCGCACTTTTCTTCAGTCTTAACAAAGGCTTTGGAACCCACAGCATCATATCTCTAATAAAGCATTACACTGCCAATAGTGTGTGTGGAGAGTGAATTGAGTGGGGAACCTGACAGGTGGAGCCCTAAGAGAGATGACTGAGTTCGAACAGCTGATCACAAAACAAAAAGAACATTTATTATGATGGATTTATATGTTACTACTCCACCTAGAAACAGAAAAACATGAATGATTAAATGGACCTTAAAGAAGTTATATCCATGCCTCAATGGGAACAGCTATGGGGAAAAGATATCAAGTTTACAGCCAGTCAGGCAGTAAGAGAAAACTGGTACAAAATGTTCTTCAGACAGTACATAATTCTGAAGAATATAGAGAAAGTGAACAAACACTACAAAGGAAAATGTTGGTAATGTCAAGATGTAGATGGAACCTTCTCTCATATCTGGTAGATGTGTAAAAAAGCAAAAAGATACTAGAAGGAAATACGTAGAGAAATGCAGAATATATTAAAGCTTAAATTCCCCATGGAAGCCAAGAACATATTATTAGGCACACTGCCTAACAATTCCCCAAAAAATTGGAAAATATATTCAGATATATGGTGACAGCAGCTAGAATTACTTAATGCAGCAAAATGGAAAGTGGACATCTGCCCACACATAAAAGAGTGGAAAAATAAACTTGCCCAGTAGGCAGTGATGATGAAATTAACAACTTATTTGAGAAACAGATCGGTTACAAATTCAAGGAGAGATGAAGTGTGTTTTATGTAAGCAGGAGACACATTTAGAATGAGAACTAGTTTAAAATATTATCTAAAAATGTATTGCAATGGAGAAGTAGAACAAGAATTAGTATTAGATGTAAAATGTTGAATATAAATGTATCCCAATGGAAGCTACTTTCACTGTATTACACAGAGAGTGTTTTTAAATTATTTTGCGTACTGAAGGAAGTGTTGGGGAGACATATTTTTTACTTTCTAAGATATCATATAAAAGTATTTTCCTTTCTGTTTTTTCATTATATTACCTATTTGCCAAAAGTAAAAGCGAGTATGCAGTAATGGTGAAATATGCAGTACAGAGTATGCAACAAAGATAAAACTAATAAATTAGCTGAGAAACAGATTAGTTATGGAATTTGAAATGTAAAACATTGAATATAAATGTATTTCAACAGAAGTAATTCTTATTGTACTGTAACGATTCCTTGTTTTATATGTGTGTGTGTGTCTTTAAAAGTTTGGTTGCATGGCGGTGAGAGATAGTCTAGGGTGCTTGAAACAGGCAAGTGGTGTGATTGGTGATTGGCAGAAAGGGGGAGGGTTTTGGAAGTAAAAATTAGTGGATGAACGGGTATGTCAGTCAAGAGTGACAGTTGATAAAGACAGTTGTTAAGTTAAAGAGTTAAGGAGTTCGTTCGGAAGTTGGAGAGAGAAGCTGTCTTGTGGATGATATAGGAATTAGTTCTGTGTATGAAGAAGAGTTGAATGTATATGAAAGAAGGAAGTAAAGTTAAAGAGAAAAATAAAAAGTCTGAGTGACAGGTTAAAAAGAAACAGTAAACATATATGTCCTAAGGAAAAAGTGTTACAAAGTTACATGCCAAAATCCTTGACAGTGTGAGAGAAAAGTGTGAGAAAAACCAGTTGGAATTGTTCAGTATTTACCCATTCATAGATACAGAGTACTATCCTGTTATTTATGAATTATATCAATAAATCTTCTTTTATTTAAGTCTGCCAGCTCTGAAAGAAATAATTTCTCAATAAATACATAGACCCTCATGAAAGCCTAAAACCTCGACCTACCTACCCAGTGATAGAAATATTACAGGTTAAAGGTTTGGAAAGCCTTAAATTTCCTGGTGGCAGCCGGATATACACAGTAAAACAAAATAAAAAGAACACTTTAAAGGGAAACCAGACCTCCCCAGAGAAGGGGTCGTCACATGTACCTTATAGACAGTGCTCCAAAAACCTTCTAATGTAATGAAGGGAAGTGCTGTGGAGAAATATTTTTTCTTATTTTTTGTTTATGACATTTAATAACTTTTCCTTTTCTGTATTTTCTGTATACTATCTGTTTGTTTTCCAAAACTAACTAAAGATAGATAGATGATAGATACTTTGTACTTCCCTACAATTAGCATCAAAAAAGGCACACACTCAATAAAATGCAGATTTGTTTAATCAACTGTAAAATACTTTGGTTGGTTGACAGCCCTATTTGAAATGCTTATTATAAAAAAGAATTAAAATGGGTTTAAAAACAGAGGAAAGAAAATATTGGATTGCATATAAACTAGGTTCAGACGCCCAGCCTAAATCCACCAGGCATACTGACTGATAAAAGGCAAAAGGCCTCCTCAGTAGTTTAGTTGCGTAGAAGAAAAGAATTGGGGAGGTTACAGCTGGGTCTGCATGGATAAGAGACACTCTGTGGCTGCCAAAATTCTTTGATACACACATCTATTCAAGGTGCTAGAGCCCTGTTCTTCTGTCCCTCTCATCATACTGTGGTTGTGATCCAGCCACTGAAGTGCTTTTAAATCCCAATGATTTCCACGGGAATGATCTGTGAGCATGCTGAATTCTTTCAAATGAAACCAGTGGAACTTTAGTGTTCCATGGTGAGCATGAGCCATTACAGGGTGCAGAGGCTACAATCCCTATGGGCTTATTGAAAACAAACTCTATTCAAACAGCAGGAGAAGATCTGACTTTGATAGCGCAGTCCAACATCTCATGAAAATTTATCAGGAATTGTATCTGGAGCCTAATCTCACAATGCAAAATGGTAAAATATGCCTATAATTCTCTTCCCAGGATTTTCCCTGGCCGCCAGAAACTATGGAATCTTTCCCCCAAGGGAACCTAGTATTGATTTCTCTTTGTCAGTTGTTAGGCAGTTCTCTGACTGGATCATAACCTGCGGTAGTAATCACACAGTTAATTTACTTGTTTATTTTAACCGTATGTCTGTTTATATTTTTAATTAAGACTACAGCATCCACTTTAGAGAAAGAAGTGAAAAAGGAGCACCAGGAACAAAACCCCCAAACACAGTCCTTATTCCTGGAGTCATCCTAAAGTACAGTGCCTCCCAGCATGCACAAAGTACAATTTAATAGTATATAAATATTGGTAATGCAACAGCAATAAAGGTTTATTGTATTTAGCCACTGGCCATTACAAATTTACAAAACCATATAGGACATTAACAAATAAAATCTTAATGTAATGCATTATGGATGTGCTCAGAAGCTACGCATTTTAGCCCTGTACTGCCACCTGGATAAGAAGGCAGCTTCCAAGGAAGGCATCTCTCCCCCCTACAAAACTCACCCTGACATTTACCCAGTGCTTCGGCTTTGAAACGGAGATGAGCACCGCAACCCTAGAGTTGGATTCGACTGGCTTTTGAGCAAGGGAACCTTTACCTTTACCTTTTATGGAGCTGCGGTGGGTCAAGTGGTTAAGATGCTGAACTCAGGCTGTGGAAGGTCGGTAGTTCGGCAGTTCGAGACCCAGGTGCCGCATGATGGAGTGAGCTCCCATCTCTAGTTCGAAAGCAAGAAATTGCAAGTAGATAAATAGATACCACTTCAGCTTTGAAACGGAGATGAGCACCGCAACCCTAGAGTCGGATTCGACTGGCTTTCGAGCAAGGGAACCTTTACCTTTACGGGCAGGCTCAAGTGGTTAAGACGCTGAACTGCAGGCTGTGGAAGGTCAGTAGTTCAGCAGTTCGAGACCCGGGTTGCCGCATGACGGAGTGAGCTCCCGTCTCTAGTTCCAGCTCCTGCCAACCTAGCAGTTCTAAAGCAAGAAATTGCAAGTAGATAAATAGGTTCCGCTTCGGTGGGAAGGTAACAGTGTTCTGTGCGCCTTGGTGTTTAGTCATGCCGGCCACATGACCACGGAAACGTCTTCGGACAGGGCTGGCTTTTCGGCTTTGAAACGGCACCGCAACCCTAGAGTTGGACTCGACTGGCTTTCCAGCAAGGGAACCTTTACCTTTACCTTTTTATGGGCAGGCATGTGTGTTGCCTCTGAGTGTGGGCAAAGTACTGCAGGTGCTCAGACTCTGCACAGACTCTAGCACTAGAAGTCAAGGGTGCCTTACAGAGAACGACCCTTTTGTATTAAAAATGCAACCCCCAAGGCTACAGCATTCAAGGCTGAGGAATTACACAAGTGTAAGGTGGACAACGAAGACATTTTAATTGTTCAAGATTTTCTGTTCCTTGGCTCTATCATCAACCACAAGGGAGAGTGCAACCAAGAAATCAGAAAGAGATTGAGACTGAGAAGGGCAACCATGAAAGAGGTAGGAAAGATTCCTAAGCGCAAGGATGTGCTACTGGCAACCACGATCAAGTTAATTCATGCCATGGTATTCCCCCATTACTATGTACGATTGTGAAACCTGCACAACGTAAAAAGCTGATCCGTTTGAAACGTGGTGTTTGGAGGAGAGTTCTACAGATACCATAGACAGCCAAAAAGACAAGACAGACTCTCAAATCCAACTCTCCCTAGAAACTAAAATGACCAAACTGAGGCTATCCGACGTTGGCCACATTATGAGAAGGCAGGACTCACTGAAAAAGACAATAACGCTAGGAAAAGTTGAAGGCCTGGCATGAGATGAATTGACTCTCAGGTTGCAAGACCTGAGCAAGTACTATGTTAACGATAGGATGGTTTTTTTGGGGTGGGGGCATTCATTCATAGGGTCGCCCTAAGTCGAAAGCGACTGGAGGGCACTTAACACGCGCACGCATGGCTGCAACCAACCTCAACTCGCCCCGCCGGGAGCTCCGGGCTGCGTATGACGTCACACCCGGCCGTCAATGACTGGGAGCGCTCTAAGGGTCCCACAGAACTTGGGGGCGGGCGGCCCTCCCCCGCGCAATGGGGGCTAACTCCGAAGGGCGGGCGGGCGGTGGGAGGGAGGGAGCAGGGGCAGGCCGCGGTACTTACTGCCGGACAACGGTCAACCCGAACTTGAACATAGTCAACCTTGTCTCTCAGCCCCGGCACTGCGAAGCTCCGCCCCCTTCCCCTCACGACGCCTCGCCGCCGGCTTCCGCGCCCTCAAGCGTGCGTCACGCCATGCGGCTCACGCGTCCACCAATCACAGCTTCCTTTCTTCCCCCCTTCCCAAGTAGGTAGGCGTTCGGTGTCTAGAGAGGCACAGATCCTGTGTCCGGAGATGAGATTTCCGGTTGTTTTTTGAGACACTGTCCTCCATGGTCTTCTGCGGGGAGGGAAAAAATGAGGCAGTTGTATGGTTGCCGACTCCCAAGAGTTGGGGCAAATTACTGGAGATTCGGGGCTGGACGGGTTTTTAGGGAGGGGAGGAAGTTTAGCGGGGATGTGAAACCAGAGGTTCCAATCTCCAAAACACCCATTTTCTACAGGGGAACTGATTTCTGGTCTGGGTATGTTTTGATTCCGGGGAATCTCCAGGCTCCACCAGGAGATTGGCAACCTTAGGTTACCTGCGTTGCCCTCAGGTCAGTCTGAGCACCCTTAGCTTCACCTACCTCACAGGATTGTTATGAGGATAAAGTTTCAAGTATATACTAATCGGAGTCTGAACTTGCTGAGACTGAGAAGGAAAAAGATCTTGGGGTTGTAGTGGATAGCTCCATGAAAGTGTCAACCCAGTGTGTTGCATCAGTGAAAAAAGACAAATTCTATTTTGGGAATTGTAATGTATTCAATACCTGCCATTGAATGCATGATCTATGTGAAACATCTAATTGACTTGCCATGTTGAGCTTCGTCCTGGGCTAGGATCCAAATCCATCCAATCGCATTGCTAGCCCAGGAAGCACCTAGCCAATCACTTTACAAGCAAGCTCCCTGAGCGGAACATCCATGATTGGTCCTTATATGAACAACCGTATTATTTGGTATTTGTACAGTGGGTGTGGCTACATTAGCCAAGAGATTTTAAAAGCAGGACAACTGCAATGTAAAAGCTGAACTGTTTTGTTCTGGCTATCAGATGTTGATCCGTGTTGGAGTTGTGTTCAGGTTGAAGAATAAAGTTGTGTTCTTGCTGAATCACACTCTGACTTCTTTGTTAAGCGAGCAACTTAACAGGAATTATTAGGAAAAGGTTTGAAAATAGAATAGCTGATATTATGATGCTCCTGTATAGATCTATGGTATGGCCTCATTTGGAATACTATGTGAGTTCTGGTCACCGTATCTCAAAAAGGATGCTACAGAGCTGGAAAAAGTACAGATGAGGGCAATCAACGTGACTAGGGAGTTGGAGCACCTTCCTTGTGAGAAAAGGCTGAAGAATCTGGGACTTATCAGTTTAGGTAAGAAATAAGCGGGGGTGGGGGATGACAGAAGTTCACAAAATTATGCGCAGTTTGGAGAAAGTCAACAAAGAACTTTTTCTTCCTCTCCCAAAATATTAGAACTTGAGGGGATGCAATGGAGTTGATAGGCAGTAGATTCAGGACAAAGAAAAGGAAATACTTCTTTACAGAAGTGATTAAAATATGGAATTTGCTGCCAGAGCATATTGTGATGGCCATGCACACATGGCTTTCAAAGATTAGATGGATTCATGGAGGATATGTCTGTCAGTGGCTACTAGCCATGGTAACTAAAAGGAACCTCCACATTCAGAGACAGTAAACCTCTAAATACCAGTGCCTGGAGGCAACATCAGCAGATATTATGCCCTGTTGCCGGACCTCCAGAGGAAATGGTTGGCCACTGTGTGAGGGTGCTGGACTAGATGGACCACTGGTCTGATCCAGTATGGCTCTTATGTTCTTAATCTACAAATAAAACAACAAAAGTTGCAACTGTGAAATAACTACTTTGCTGCCATCTTCTGGGATGGAGTGGAAGAGAAACATTAACTGCAACTTGTACACACTGACTTGAAAGCCTGTACTTCTAAGATGCTGCAATCCTGGGTGCAAATTTTTCCACCCCCATTAAGGAACATTCAAGCATGCAACTCCTAACATACAGTCTGAAGAACACAAGTCAAGAAAAGCTTTACTGTATAAAAACTGGTTGTCTAGTTTAAACAGTGAACATATTTGTATGTAACCACAGATTTCAGAACATAAATATACGTTGGCGCCTTCCTTTGGCAAGTTTCTAAAGGGAACACCATTTTCTTCCACTCTGTCCCTCTGTTCTGCACCCCCAGACTTTTCACTTCAAACATACAAACCTTTAAGGCTGTCTTTATTAGCTGTTGTCGATTTTCCAGGTTGTATGGCCATGGTCTTGGCATTGCAGGACCTCACGTTTCGCCAGTAGCTGTGACTGGCATCCTCGGAGGTATGACACAGAAAGATGGAGTACTCTCTGTGTCAAGGTGAAAATAAAATGATAGGCAGATAATTTATATCAGGAAGGTGGGGTAGGGCTGAGTCAAGTCCTACAATGCCAAGACCATGGCTATACAACCCGGAAAATCTACAACAGCTCTGGCCGTGAAAGCCTTCGACAGCTATCTTTATTGTCTCTTATGTAGTTAGGAAAGGCAACAGGGTACAGCCCAATCTCATCGGCTCTCGGAAGCTAAGCAGGGTTGGGACTTGGGAAGGCCACCAAGGAAGACTCTGCAAAGGAAGGCAATGGCAGACCACCTCTGCTTCTCTCTTGCCTTGAAAACCCCTTGCTGGGATTACCCTAAGTCAGCTGTAACGTCACAGAAACACAGAGTTGGAAGGGGGCGTACAGGCCATCTAGTCCAACCCCCCTGTTCAATTTCAGGATCAGCCTAGAGCATCCCTGACAAGTGTTTGTCCAGCCACTACTTAAAGACTGTCAGTGAGGGGGAGCTCACCACTTCCCTAAGCAGTTGATTCCGCTGTTGCACAACTCCGACTGTAAAAAAGTTTTTCCCAATATGCAGACGGTACCTTCCTGCCCTTAATCCAAACCCATGATTGCAAGTCCTATCCTCTGCTGCCAACAGCAACAGCTCCCTGCCCTCTAAGAGAAAGCACTTCAAATACTTACAGAGAGCAATCACATCCCCCCTCAGCCTCTTCTCCAGATTAACCCCCCTCAGCCTTTCCTCATAGGGCTTGGCCCTTGATCATCCTCGTTGACCTCCTCTGCACCTGCTCCATTTTGTCCAAATCCTTTTTGAAGTGAGGCCTTGAGAACTGCACACAATACTCCAGGTGCGGCCTGACCACTGCAATGTACAGCAGGACTATGGCATCTGCCAGGGTTTTTTTTAAAAAAAAATTGATTTTTTTGAGAAAGAGGTGTTGGAACTCTCAAGAGGGAAGTTTTTAATCTGTATACTGAAAACTCATGAACTTTTAAACATTTTAAAAAGAATTTTGTCAAAGAGGTTCCGGAACTCTGTTCCAACGCATTCCCTGCATCTTGCGATTTTTATGTTATGCCTCTGTTGATACACCAGATCATATTAGCCTTTTTTGTCGCTGCATTATACCAGTTGCTCATATTTAACTTACTGTCCACCCGTATCCCAAGATCTTGTTCACACACACACTACTACCCAGGTGTATCCCCCATCCAGTATGCATGTTCCTTATTTTTGTTACCTAGATGTAGAACTCGGAACTTATCCTTGTTAAATTGGATCTTGTTCACATCCCACTTTTCCAGTGTGTTCAGATCTTGTTGAATTCTGTATCTTCTGCTCCTCTCAATTTGGTGTCATCTGCAGATTTAATGAGTGGCCCCTCCACACCTTTATCCAGACCATTTATAAAAATATTGAAAAGTACCAGGCCCAGAACCGAGCCCTGTGGCAACTTGATGGTACTTGACACACACACATTTAGCTATCTGTATCTTTTCTCCCCCATGGGGACTCAAAGTGGCTTACTACACTCACCTCCTCCATTTTATCCTCATAAGAAGCCCACGAGTTAGGCTGAGAGCAACTGAGCCAAGGTCACCCTGCAAGCTTACAAGGCAAGAGGAGGGACCTAAATCTGGGCCTCCTAGATTCCTGCATGACACATTGGGGCAAATTTATCTCACTTTCTATTTAATGCAACCTTCCTGACAGTTCTCAGCACCTGAGGCTATCGCCATGTGGTGCAGGGTACTTCCAGGCCCAATTCAAAGTGCTGGTTCTTACCTTTGAAACCCTTTATCGCCTGGAGGGGATTGGTGCCAAAGTTCCATGAAGAAGGCTGCTGTGAAATGTCACCCATAGGTCTGAAGAAGCTGAGCAACTGCAGGTCCTTAGAGATGACTTATCTAGTCCCATTCCAGGATAGCTGAAATTGGTTTGGCTGCCTCATTACCATCAGCACACCCATCCCGCCTTCCCCTTTTCCTTGTTAACTGGATAGTAATGTATCTCTTTTGCAAGCACTTAGGTAACACAAGGATAGTTTGTTGGAGCACTTGGAAGGAAAGTTTGCAAAGCACATGTGTAAACTGAGGAGAGCTGAGGGATGTATGTGTTGCCCTACATGGACTGCTTTCCTCATGCTGAAAGCCTCAGGCTCCTGGCTCCCCTTTCTTAGAGGTGGGGTTGCAAAAACATGACCACGAGAGTCAGTGTGGTGTTGGGGTCAGTGTCGGACTAGCATCTGAGAGACCCAGGTTTGAATCCACACTTGTGCTATGGAAACTTGCTGGGTGACCTTGGGCCAGTCACTCTCAGCCTAACCTACCTCACTGGGTTGCTGGATAAAATGGAGGAAAATGATGTAAGGCACTTTGGGTCCCCATTGGGGAGAAAGGCGGGGTACAAATTAATTAAATGATCCACATTGTAAGTACTTTTAAACATTATAATTTGGGTGGGGCTCCCTCATCTTACCTATTCTGTAAAGTTCTCAAACTGTACTAGGGTCTATGGTAAAAGTATGCATAAAACTTCCTCCACTCAATTTTAATCTTGTAAGGTAAAGGTCTCCCTGTAGTATATCCCGAAGCTTGAGCAAATGACTGAGGGGAAGATTCAGACCAGAGATTTCCTATTCCATATCTCTGTTTTACAAAGTCACTGACAAGTATGAGGTCAATTCTTCGAACTAATTTTTGGATATTGTTCCAGAGCAGCTATTGAAAATATATCCTCTTACTGGCTGAAATGCCTATTCTGAATTATCTACTGGTGAGTTTGTATATTAGCCAAGATAGCACACAATGGGTGCGGTCAGACGGCGTGCTGGGAGCAGTTTAAATTGCTCTGGCCCTGATGTGGTCTTTTTTAACCTGGAGAATCGTGATCACACTCACCTCCTTGCTCTGGATTGCTGCACTGTTTTTCTCTCTCTCATTTTGGGCATACGCACAGGCAGCCATCTGTGGAACTAAAAGTTCCCCGCCTGCGCAGAACAGCGATTTCCACTTCAACCCAACTGCTGTAACACTTCCCTTTAAACTTTAAAGGAACACTTAAACGTTTACCGCCGAAAATGGCCTCTGTGAGATGCCGAACTCATCTAAAGGCTAAAACTAGGCACCATTTAAACATTGTTTTTAATAACCCTGTGGCGGACATTACTTTTTTCCCACCATAGAGAACAATGGAGGGGATGGGGGCAACCTGATTGGGGGCCCGTAGAATTGGACTCCCTGGTCCAATGTTCTTGAAACGTGGTTGGTATCTTGGGGAGAGGCTCCAGCAGCTACCCTGCAAGTTTGGAGTCTCTCCCTCCAGCCCCCTCCCCTCCAGCCCCCAGAATATATCCTGTTTTCGCCATTGACTTCAATGGCCCATAGGATATAATGGGGCTGAAATTGACATTGGCTGGCGAAAGACTCCGGAATGGGCTCCTACTGACAAATGGAGGAGTCTTACTGCCAGCTGAAATTGATTCTGCCTGATTCCGCCGAATCCAAATGGGCCGAATTTTTTTTTTGCACACCCCTACTCCAAAGCCACCAGATGCAGTTCAAATCCACTGTTGTGGGTAGAGCCTTGTGTTAACCACAGCAAAGACGTGGAGGCCCAGGACAAAGACCAGATGCTGCAAGAGAAAGATAAGCAGATTGAGGAGTTCACGCACATGCTGAGACAGAAGCTGGAAGCGGGGAGGGGATTTAAACCGGAAATGGCTCGACACCAGAGGCACGATCACACAGGGGAAAAATGCGGCTGGAACCGGAGAATCGGGAAAACACCACTTGGGGACCTGGTATCAAAATACTCTGGGTTAAAGCTGTTTTGAGCCAGAAAGTGACAGCTGGGAACGGGAGGCAGATGTTGACGTGTGATCATGCAGATAAAATCCGTTTCTGAGGCAGGCCAAAAGCGGACTAAATGGCCCGTCTGAACGCACCCAATGAGTCAATCATACAGCATGGTTCAGGAGGGTCTTTTTATAAAGGGAACAGGACTGTGAACTATACCACTTTATAGAGTGTATTTGATCTGTATGGTGTATTTTGCTATCACTGCACTGTTTCCTATTTATGTAATAACATTTCCTACATTGTGTAACACAAGGGTGTCAAACTCATTTGTTATGCAGGCCAGATCTGACATAAATGAGACTTTGTTGGGCCGGACCATGTGTGTCATAAAATGTAATGCCAGGTAGCGGAGATATAAACCTTATAAAGGACACAAACATAAAGTTTTTTTTTACTTAAAATAAAAACATGCTTAAAACATTAGCTCTGTAAGCTGCAAACCTACCACAGAAATCTCATGCTCAGAGTTCTGAGTCTAGGACCCAGGTAAAAACCTGAAACAGCTAAGTGATTAAGAGAGTCTGGCAAAGCGAGCTATGATGCAGCAGCAGAACTGGAAGCAGGAGATGGCCAGTTCTACTGCGGGCCTGATGGAAGCCCTCGGGGGGCCTGATCTGGCCCCTGGGCTGCATTTTGACACCCCTGGTATAACACATCGTTTCTAATTCTGCATGCTTTGTTTCGGATTTCTATAATTCTACTCCTATCAGATTATATCAGACATCTCATCCTGTTGACCACACTGACTTTCACTATGTATAATCTGCCTTGAGTTCCAGTGAAAAAGGTAGTGTAGAAATTAATAAATGAAACAAGTAAATAAAATGGCAAATGAATGCTCAGTTTGCACTGCAGGCCGAAGGCCCCTGACTTAATTTTATTCTTCTTTGCTATCTATTACATTTCTATACAGTGACTGCCATTTTTAGGTGCTGAATATTTTAGATGCTGACACAAAAGCACACAAACATGAATTTAAAAAAAGAAAAACCAGATTGATTGGGTCAAGGTGAGTTTAATGTCCATACGATATAGCTAATCCTGCCAAAAACACATTGCATATAAACCTTCTCGTAACTAGTCAAAATACCTGATTATTAACACAGAAGATTGAACAGATAAGACCGTTTGGAAGGTAATCAGAAGAGATTACAGTGTTCTTACCCATCAAAAACCAAGCAAGAGTCTCACATACTTGCTAAATACATTTTTATACACCCAATCATGTTTATACACATCTGCTAGCTTACCCTGACCATATAAAAAATGTCCATACCTCTTAAACACAGCAAGTTTGTGAGAGTAACATTGAACTGATATGGCATCACATTTTGTTAAAGCAAAATTGAAAAAAAAAGTTGAGAACAGAGATTGTGCAACTGTCAGTGATTTCTGAGGTAAATGATAACCACAGTGGGAAAAAATACAATCTGCAAGGTGATTCTGTTGGGAATTTGGTTGTGTCCAGTTACTTTAAGGAAGAGATTTTGTGTTCTATTATGGGCATGATCCTCTGGGAACTTCTGCTCAAGTGCAATTAATTTCAATGGGGTAGGCTTGTATGCTCATTAAAAGAGCTTTAATCAGTTCCCATTCATTTTGATGGAGCTTGGACAGGGATGACTGGTCCCCATTAGCAGAAATGACTACAGGTATGCAAAAAGGTAGGATAATTTGAAACACGTTCACCTGCAATTAATGATTCCAGAGCCAAATGTGGCTCTTTAAAACAGAAAATGAAATCTTCTAAGGTAAATTATATTGGAGGGGGTAGGTGGGATGCTACAATAATCGGTACAAATGGCAGGCAAATGTTTCTAGGACTAAAAGACTTCTGAAAGATCCTTTACAGAAAGGGAAATGCTGAACAGTTGTCAGTAATCCTAGTGTAAACCACACACAGATTTACAGTAATCCTAGTGTAAACTACACACACAGTGCACTAAAACAACCACACAAAGTGCTCCTGTGTGTATTGCTTATTGTGAGACCTAGTGTGTGTGCCAATTCCTGAAATACCACTCCACTTCATCTTATTTTGTGATCAATGGACTCCACTCAAAGACCTTTGGATTATCCTGAGTAAATACCAGTTGCCTGTCAAATCCCGCATGGTCTCTTTTTTGTTAACAGACACCACTTTGGAAATAACAATTTCTAGCACTTGGGGATTCTCCATGCCGTTACAGAGATGTGTTTTAATTTGCCATGCTGCATTTTAATGTTTATCTTATATCTGTTTCGGCGTTGATCCAAGACCTTTGGTCAAAGTAGTGAAATACTAAAAGTAAAGGATACATGACTCCTGACAACCAGCAGTTAGGGTGCAGAAACGTTACGGATTATTAATCAACATGTCAGTTATGTCGAACTGTATATTTTGAGTTACACAAGTGGCTCTTTCTTAATAAAAGGTTGCTGACCCCCATCCTAAGTATTTCCCTTCCACAAATCCCCTCCATTTCAATCAAGCACACTTTTGAAGAATTGTACCCTGACACTGCAATTCACCATAAAATCTCTTTATTTTCTCAGGCTTTAATGGGAGTATGACTCTCTTCCAGATTCTCAATATTACTGCATTTTTTCCCACTATGGTAAGGATAACCAAAGTCCACGAGAGAGCCAAATTACAAAAAGGCATGTTCCCCATTCACAGCTGAAGCCAGAGCACTTTCCTTTGGGAAAACATCAGCCCCAGATGCATTTTCCATTAACTATTCTGTGTGGCTCTCTGTGGAAAACTGTAAAGTTGTGAGGTAATGTAAAAATGGAAATCAATTTGTTGTCCAGTAAACCTGAGGTAAAATAGAGCAGGAAGTGATAAGAAATTAAAATAACACACTGTATGAGGAGGGAGAAACTGTGCAGGCATTTTCCAGTAAAATCAAAGCAACCCAGCATATTTCCACTTAACCACTTACTTGAGGATTTGAAAATTTAAGCAGTAATATATTATAAAAATGTTTATAAAATAGCAGCACACTCAGTGAAACAATACAGCTAAGTACTGTTAATGTGAAGAATTAAACAAATTGTAGCTTTTTAGCAGCGCAAAATAATCCCCCCTTAGATTCTTACTCCGTTTTTCTTATCCTTGACTAGCCAAAAAACGTGCCAAGAGTCCATTCGCTAAAGGCTCTTTAGAGTTATCGTGCATTCTCTCGCAGAACATTTTACCTTTAAAAATGCAATGGTTAACAATTCATCCAACAACTTCACACTGTATATTCAAAAACTGTTAATATAATTGTGCAAAAAAATTTCACTTGCCTCATCTCTTTTGCCAAACTAAAAGCTTAAAAAAAAATCAGATAGAGCAGGAAACTAAAAATTCAAGTACACTGAATACACTCTTGTAGTAGTAGTAATAATAATAATAAAAAAACCAAAGGATAAAAATCACGCAACTTGATGTTTGCTGCCTGTGTGTGTGTTTTGCAGGAGCAATTGTCTTTCACTGTTCATAGGTAAGCTCACAGGCAATATTAAGATCTTGCTGTGACCAGATTTGTCATCTGTCATGACTTCCATTTGGAATGTTGGGATGGGAATGTCACCTGAAGCAGGTGTCTGGAAATTCAAGCAACTTCACAACTCATTGGGAACACAAAATACCAAAGGAGGAGATATATATACACGTAATTTTAGAGATCTGTGGCTTGCCTTGCTCAGCGCATGTCATAAGCCATTTCATTTTTTTTTCTCCCTTAGGAATAGGTTTTCAAAGTGCTTTTCGAATGAAATGGTTTATAATAATGCTAACTGTGGACTACAAAAGCTAAAAAAAAATAGAAATACCTTTTCCAGGAAGACTGGGGAGAAGCAGAGTAGGGGGAAAGAGATCAAACAGCATCTCCTTTTAACATAGCAGAACGTTGTGTCAAAAAATGAAGAAAGACCACAAGAGCCTGCAATCTCTCTTTTTTGACTTTCTGAAAGTTCAAAATAAACCAAAGATTTTTTTTAAAGGAAGACTGGCAGGGTGTTACTTGAATGATGAGCATGCACCATCTAAAAACAAAGTATATTCTTGTACAAAACAATTTGCATGCAAATTTATACATATACATGTATCAGATAAAACCAAGACAGCTATACCCTTATGACTTAATGCTGCAAGGGATGTATTAATTCAGAATCTGTCCTTTGAACAAGCATGGTATGTTCATCCAATAATACATCTTTTGATGCATATGAAAATTCACCTCTTCCGTTGGAGCTACCAGCCACGACATGAAACTGAGGACCCACAACTATAGCTGAATCAGGGCCTTGGAGTGCAAAGTTGTTAAACAGTCTATTAGTAGAGATGTGAAGGTCTTGGCTGAGGGGGCGGAAGAGAGATATGTGGGCCCATTTTTGCCCTCTCCAAACTTCTCTTCAATTTTTCAATGGAAGTATTGGAAATTTTGGAGAGCACTAAAAAACCCCTCGGGAACGCTCTTTTGGAGCGAGTGAAATGCTTTTTGAGACAATATTTTACTCAATCAAGATAATAGCAGCAGAAAATCATTCTTTTGCAAGCTGTAGACATACACAATATTGTCAAGGATATATTTGTTTAACTTTGTCCACAATTAATAGGCTACGGATTGGATCCAATCAACTTCTCTGCTCAATCTCAGCCAATTCCTCTTATTATTATAGCTCCAGTCCCACATGGCTTTTGTCCATGCAAGTCCCCTGATCCCCAGCATAGCCTTTTTGGTGGCTGGCTTCAACCCAATGAGTGTGATGGATATACATCACTGAAGAGTCTAATGTTTTCTACAATGAAAAGTTAATGCAATATCTGGCTGTGCTGCTTCCAGTTTTTCTGTCTTAGATGTTGAAAACTAATATACCTGCACTCCAGTAGCATAGGGAATGGCAATTTGTAGTTCTCTCTTTTAGTTTAAGAAATATTAGCAATTTTGCTTGCAGAAAACTAAGACAATAATTAAAACTCTATATGCTGCAATTCTAAGTGGTGCATTTCATATTGTTAAGCGATCAACATTTTAAGTTTAGGGTCATTTAAAAAGCAGGGTTTGCATATATCCCAATTTTTCCCTACTATTCCCTCAAATTTCCTTTTTTCCAGGGGGAGGGGGTATTTTTCCCTGTGGCTTCAACACATCTCTACTCATTTGCTGACTAGTCATTTTAAAGTGGTGCCTTTTTCTGCTTCACACCGTGAGCCCACAGGAAAAACCAGTATACCCCAGGGTAGCTTTCAGTCCTAGGCTGACACCATCCTACCAATTTGGCCATGAATCCACCAACAGTGTATGCATGCACAGAATACATACTGTGTTCTGCCAGACAGCAAGGATCCCTATTATAAGCAGTATTACTACTCATAAAGCACAATACACGGACTGCTCGAAGCACTGTATACTAATGCATGGCAGAATAGCTAACTATATGGGCTCACAACAAAGGCAACATCCAGTGGGAAGTCCTCCTGCCCGAGCCCTGTTGAAGCAAGTGGGAACAGTAAAAGAATAATGCAAAAGAGCTTCCTTTTCAGTTGTAACTTGAAAGTTAATTATTCTAGCCTGGCCCACGGCTGAATAAGGAATCTCACACTTCTGCCAAAGAGACTGCTGTGTTTAAAAGCATCAGATATACTCTTTTCCATATATGGGGTATGTGTATATATTCGGGAGGGGGGGACATAAACAGGCAAAGCCCCACCAATATGTCTGCAAAAACAACACCACTTCCTTAGGTACAACCTGCCAACCAAGAACAATAGCCAACAAAAAACTAACACCAATCAAGGCGGCAGATAAATCAAGGCCAAATCTTGTTCGTACCGCATCGAAATGAGTGTGTGCTTCCACAAAGAGCACACATGCCCTGCACCCTAAATATCTTTTCTACCCCCAAAACTCAACCGCTTCAAGAATCTCCCCCCCCCATTTTCTTTTCCCACTCACGCATACATCCTGCTCCCTCATATTATAACTATCGATTTTGCGATCCAAGTTAGCCATTAAAAATAATTTACGTTATTCCTTTCGTAAGAGTGAGAAAGGAAGGAGGGTATGCACTAGGTCGTAAAATGCTCGTTGTTTTTTTTTTAAAAGTATTCTCTATTTTGTTCCTGCAGAGAGCAGAGTCTAGCTACTGGAATGCTTTTAGAAGCTTCTCTTGCCACCAGTTCATAATCGAAACAGCAACTATAAAATATATTGTTGTGGAATTTCGTTCTGTTGCACATCATAGGCATTGAATATATATATATATACACACACAAATACACACATAAAATCCATCACAGTTGACCACAGCCCACAAGATGTTTCCTTGGATGTTTCCTTGCAGAAGCCCACTGAAAGCACAAGCTTCATTTCAGCGGGGCTTGTGCAGGGGAATTTCCCGATGGATTTTGCCTTTGGTGCTCTTTTAAGATCTAAAAAGTTTCAAATACATTCTGTGGGAACATTTTTAAAATAGAAATGTGCCTGTGTGTGTGAGAGAAGATTTAACGCCAAAAAAGGGGGGGGGCCTGGTGGGATGCAACTTTCCATGGTGACGTCTTCACAGGTTGATGTCTCTCACATCGGTGGGAGTGCTGGACTGATCCAGCTCATCCATGGTCTTTGAAGCATCGCCTGGGGGCTGTGGGACTTCCTGAAGATTGCTTACTAGAACTGACTCGATCTGTTCTTGACATGCTTTCAGGCAGTCCTAGGAAAGAGAAAACAAATTGTGTTTTATAGCAACAACCTGCAACATTTCCACAGGCAAAATTACATTCATATGTGTGTACTTGGAACACTCCTATTCCCTCCCACACCAATAATTTTATCTACTACTTTTATACCCTGCCTTTATCCCCAATGGGGACCCAAACTGGCTGACATAATTTTCTTCTCCTCCATTTTATCCCTTAACCTGAGAAGCTGGTTAGGCTGAAAGAGAGAGAGTGACTAGCCTAAGGTCACCCAAAAAATTCCATGCCAGAGTGGGGATTCAAACCTGGGTCTCCCAAATTCTAGTCCAACGCTCTAACCACTACACCACACTGGCTCTCATCACTACCTAAATAGTGAAATAGGTTCTTCCCCTCCTCAGTTGCTTCTGCATGGAGAGTCTGCTTCAGTTTGGAGCATGGAACTGTTTGCCTGCGGTCCACTTTCCAGTCCCTCCCCCCCCCCCCGCCTCCCTCTTTCCCAAACCAAACAATTTCCATATTATGCAAATCAGCCCTATTGACTGTGTATTTTCTAATGATTTGACATATCACAAAAGTGGAGAAGGAGTAATGGAATGACCTCAACCAACATCTCTCATGCCAGGGAAAACTGACTTTCCTTTCTATAAAATAAAGCAATAATCTAGTGGTACCTTGAAGACTAACAGCATTTCATTTCAAGATGAGCTTTTGTGACACACAAAAATTCATGTTGAAATAAAATGTTCTCAGTCTTTAGGGTGCCACTATATTTTTGTTTTCTTTTGCTACAACTGACTAACACAGCCACCCCTTTGTGATCTTTTCTCTGAAATCCTCAAAAAGATGTGATTTAGAAGGAAACAGCAAATAATTGTATCACATACTTAGAAGTCTTCAAGAAAGATGGTCCATAATTTGAGTTCATTCCAAAGTGTAACAGAAGAAGGAAAGTCTTTTATACTCCACTTTTCTCCACCCTAAGGAGTCTTAAAGCAGCTTGTAATCACCTTCCCTTCCTCTCTCCACAACTGGCACCTTGTGAGGAGGTGGGGCTGAGAGAGTTCTGAGAGAACTGTGACTGGCCCAAGGTCACTCAGCATTTTCATGTGGAGGAGTGGGGAATCAAACCTGGTTCCCCAGATTAGAGTCCACCACTCTTAACTACTACACCACACTGGCTCTTATGAAGAGAAGAAGAAGAAGAGAAGAGATTAGATTTATACCCCGCCCTTCACTACTCAAAGGTGTCTCGGAGCGGCTTACAAACTCGTTTCCCTTCCCCTCCCCACAACAGACACCCTGTGAGGTAGGTGGGGCTGAGAGAGCTCTTGACAGAAACTGCTCTTTTTCAAGAACAGCTCTTATCAGAGCTACGGCTTGCCCAAGGTCATCCAGCCAGGTGCAAGTGGAGGAGTGGGGAAGCAAACCTGGTTCTCCCAGATTAGAGTCTGTGCACTTAACCACTACACCAAACTGGCTCTCAATTATGACCCCAACAACATATTACAGTGAACACATTTAAAGCCTGCATGTATGTCCATACTTGTTTGTAAGAAAGAGCCAATACAAGTTCACTTTACAAATGAAATTGGGGACCAGTCTTTCAGTAAACATGGGATTTCAACACATCTGCTTGGCATGCAAAAGGTCCCAGGTTCAATCTCCAGTATCTCCAGTTAAAAGAATCAGGCAGAGGAGGTGATAAGACCTCTGCCTGAGACCCTGGAGAGTCGTTGCCAGTCTTAGACAATACTGACTTCGATGGACCAATGGTCTGATTCAGTATAAGGCATCTTCATGTGTTCACATGTTCAGCTACACACACACTGAATATAACATGAGGTGTAGACAATCTTTTTGGCCCAAATGCCCTCCACCGCAAACCTGGGCTGCCTTCTCCTGCTGCAGAGGGGTTGGTCTTGAGCAAGAGTGGTTATTAGCATCTGTGGGGAGCTGAGAATTCTTGCAGACTCTCAAGGGCTCAGTTGCTCACATCCCAAGTCAGTGCTCAGGTACCTGCTGCTCTATAATGAATGAAAGCAGAGACTGGTGTGCAAACAACCAGGGAGGGTGTGTGTCTGCTGGCCAAAACATCAACAGGCTGTTAAAAGTTGCATGTGCCCCATTTTCTCCTCTCCTTGCACTGCCCAGTGGGTCAGTGTGTTCAGCGGCATTAGGTGCCATTTTGCCTGCCCAGGTGGCCTTGCTCAGCCTTCCAGCAAACTGACAAGCTGGGTTTTCACCTACCTTTTATAAATTATGACTGATGATTCCAAACTGGAAAACTGGGCCAGTTCTCTGGCCATGTCATTCGAGTAGGGTTACCAACCTCCAGATGATGGCTGCAGATCTCCTGCTACTACAACTGATCTCCAGGGGAAAGGTATCAGTTAACCTGGAGAAAATGGCCACTTTGGAAGCCGCACCCTGTCATTATACTCCACTGAAGTCCCTCCCCTCTCAAATCCTGCCCTCAGGCTCCACCCCCAAAATATCCAGGTATTTCCCCACACGGAGCTGGCATCCCTATAACCAAGGGTGCTGAGGTACTGTAGGGTCTTGATTCACTCCCAGCCATTCACAGCATGGGAAAAGATGGGCATTTCCTCCTACACCTATGCCAAGGACTGCCTTTTCCCTTACTGTCCAGCCCACCCAGGAAGATCTGCCCCACAAGCCCTGCTCTCTGTCCCCCTGCCTTCAGTGGCAAGGTGGATGGTGATTACAGAAAGGGTGTTTTCTGTCGTGGCACTATGCCTCTGGAACATTCTCCCCCCCCCCCTCCTTGAGTCTCGCCTGGCACCTATGTTACCTTCTTGTAGGTGCCAGACCAAAATGTTTTTGTTTATCCAGGCTTTTAACTAAGGGGTTCATCTTTTTAAATCATTTCAGAGTGAGCTTTTAGTCTAAAGATTGTGCTGTTCGTTTTAAGCGCTTCAGTGACTTGATTTGCATTCTCTGGCTGTGCTTTTTCTTCTTTTTTTAAATGCTGGGTTCAGGTAGGTTCCTTGGGGCAGCGATAAAACATTCCGTGAATAAAATAAATTTTATTAAATTAATGCAGCCAGTAGCCAAGTTCAAGCCAAGCTCCTGTGGTGTTGCTACTAGGGTTGTCAGGTACCTTCTGGCAACTAGGCAGAGGAGGGGTTGGAGCTTACCGGCAGTGAAGACAGAGTTTAGTCATGGAGGCCCACATAATCAGATGTGATGTCATTGTGTCGCTGGTGATGTGGGGATTCTCTGGTATTTGGGCAAAACCTGTATGTTAGAAGTCATTTTTACCATAGAGTTTTTGCCCAAATACCAAGCATCCCATGTCACTGGGATGACATAAATTCTGGTGCACCCTGGATGTGACACTGCTGTGCTTCTGGCCTATGTCTCCTTTTCCTATTGGTTAATCCCCCCACCAGCCAGCTGATTGGCAGCAGGGGGAGGAGCCCCGTGGTGGGGGATCCCTGGCCTCAGTGGGAACCGAGCAGGCCTCATTGCCATAAGGATCCAAACACCCAGGAGATGGTACTAAGCTTCGAGTGACAGAATATCTTGAACTGCCCTAGCTGACAGAACTCATTAAAAGAATGTTGAATTATACACCAGTCGTCAATATACTATGTGACTTTTGAACTCCATTTTGCGTTCCCTTCCAGGTGCTCAACTGTCACACTCCAGTTATGTTGAGAATATCTGACACAAGTTATCAGCAATGTTCCCTCTAAGCTGTGGAGTCTTGTGAGCAAAAATTCAACTTTGTGAGCTGCTGGCATTAAAGTTGTGAGCAATCTATTTGGCTACTGGATAAATTAGTTTGCTCTGGAGCCATCCTTCCTGAGCTAAGACAAAAAAGTGCAAGCCAGAGGCTAAAAAACTGTGAGCTAGCTCACACTAACTCAGCTTAGAGGGAACACTGGTTATCAGTTAGTCTCCTCAGCGTGAGCTGCTTACGTGCCCACCGTAGTGCAGGTTGGGGCAATATCCCAACTGATGACAATTTAGCACCAAGATGAGGGGTTCTACCCTTACCGGGTGTGTGTGTGTGTAAGGCTCACTTCCTCCAAATGCCAGATTGCTCTCCCAGCAACACACCCTCCCTTTCCTTTTTCTTAACTTATAAATGACTCCATCAGAACTCCACGATTACCCTGCAGTGTTAACTGCATCTCTTCATTGTCCTCCATACACGCACACCACTCAGTGGTGAACAAAAAGCTGAATGAGACCAAGCAGCTGCCAACTCAGGCCAGAGACAACAGAGGAAACTATCTCATTCTTCCTTGTCTCCAGGATCCTGTTCTGTCTTGTTGCTTCCTTGCATACACAAAATGCAGCTTGCAGCAAATGTGGCAGGAGAGGATACAGCAGGCCCTGTCACAAGGTTCCAAAACCGGTCTGCAAACACTGAAGGTCAGATGAATGCCTCACAGACAGAACACTAGCCCAATGTTCGTCTGCCATTCCTCACAGCCGTTCTGTAATTTTATAGCAACACTCAACGGTAATATATAATCTAGAATGTGGCAGCATTTTAGCTCTCTTTGAATCGGTGTGAAGACCCCTTTTCATCCTATAGAAAATTCAGAAACAAAATGGAGGACAAAGAAGACAGCTTACATCCCTTGGCACTCCTCTATACTGGTGTGCTGGCAAACTAAACTTGGCGCGAGGAGAAAAATGTGTGATTAAGATCATCTGCGGTTTTTATCTAAAAGCTAGTCAGTGGCACTTCCAGGCAACTGCTTTGGAGATCAGGGAACAGTGTCTGAGTGAGAGGGTGTGTTTGAATGTTACTTCCCAAACGGCTTCATGATTTAAACTCACTCCTCCAAAGAAGCAATTCTCTGTGTGGGGGGAGACTGAGGCATGGTCAGATGCAGGCATTCTATGGATTGAGCCATTCCTTTTTCAGGATGTCACTGAAGAGAAGAAGGTAGAAGGATGAACTGGTCTGAATGCTGCAGGCAAGGAAATAAGTCTGAATTACCTTTGAGGGAGTCCTAAGTGCTGGAAGTCC